AAGGGAAAACACCCAGGCTCCCTGGCAAGGCGAGGCCTGCTCCTTCCACCACCTGCTGCCTCGTGGGGCTGCAGCCCGGCCTCGTGGTCTTGTACAAGCAGGAGGAGTTGTGCACGCGGAGGCTCAGGAGGGGCACGAGGACTTAACAAACAGCCCCCACCTCGGTCTGGGTCTGCCCCAGGGTGAGCCACCCCCCACTGCTCACAGAGCTTTCACTGTCACAACCTGAGAGCAACATCTTGATCCAATTGGTTAATCCTTCTGGGAGGAAGAATCCTGACTCCGTCAGAGAAAATGACGCCCAGGTCCCTGGAGTGTCAGGATATGAAGCCCATTCAGAGAGAGTCTGGTAAGCTTTTCAATGGTGGTTTCATGGGGAAACCGTGGCTTCTGCAACATCAGATGATTTGTTTGTAACGGGAAGTCCCATGTCTCTGTAATGCTTTCACTTGGCCATGCAAACAGATACTGACGTTTCAAATGACAGGATTCACCGTTCATTCATTCAATAAATCCCACCTGTGAGTGAGGCGCTAAGCTAGGTGCTGGGGTACAAGAGTGAGTGGGCTGGGTGCAGATGTATCCCTCAAGGAGGTGCATTCAAAACGGGGCTTTAGAAACAAATACACTGCATAATATAAAGAACAGCGCATCAATGTAAAACTAAGCAGAAAAAAAGAGGCAAGGAAAGTGAGTCTGTGTGGGGCTGAAGCTGGCCTTTGAGCTGAGTGGGGCTGGCAGGACACCAATCAGCCCAGGTTCACCAGGCTGGGGGCTGAAGCTGTCATCCTCAGCCCAGCCCCCTGGGAGGAGCCCTTCTGTGGGGCTAGAGCACCACCTGGTGGTGGCACAGCCTCAGCACATGCCACAAATACCGAAAGGAAGGTGCACTCATTGAGTACACTGCCAAATGCCAGAATGAAATCCTGTGTTGTCATCTGATGCTCCCCTTGTGAGGGCAGTGCTGTCCTCACTATTCACCCTCATGACCACCCTGGGGCTCTGGTGAGTAAACCTTCTGCTGCTTCTGAGGTTCAAGTGAGCAGAGGGCAAGGTCCCTTGTCTAACTGAAGATGAGCTTTATTAACAAGATGGTCAGTTTCTCAGAGGTCCCTGGAGCTGGGTCCCTGACACTGGAGACTAGGACAGCCCTCCTGGGGTCACACTTCAAGGAGTGGCTCGTTCAGAGAGGAGACGTGTAGGAAGAAGAGGAAAGTCAAAACGGAGTATGACTACGCTGCTGTAAAAAGGAAGTAACTGCTACCATTTGCAACAGCATGGATGGAACTGGAGAGCGTTATGCTAAGTGAAATAAGCCAGTCAGAGAAAGATAAATATCACATGATCTCACTCATTTGTGGAATATAATGAACAACATAAACTGATGAACAAAAACAGATCCAGAGACAGAGAAGCATCGATCAGATGCTCAAACCTCAGAGGGAAGGTAGGGGAGGGCGGGGGTAAAGGGGAGAGATCAACCAAAGGACTTGTATGCATGCGTATACTAGTAAGCATAACCAATGGACACAGACATCAGGAGGTGAGGGCATGAGTGGCGGTGGGGGGAGGGAGGCAATGGGAGGATAAGGACACATATGTAATGCCTTAATCAATAAAGAAAAAAAAAGTCAATTCAAAAAGCAAAAAAATGGAGTATGAAACCACGTGTGTTCCAGAAATGCATTTCCTAGGAGTGACCATACTCTTTAAAACAAAAATAAGTAAGAAGAGTTGTTTAAAAAATACTATGCTGCCCAATTGAGTGCCTACAACGTGTTGGCATTATTTAACCTTCACGGTGACCCAGTGATGTGGGCTCCATTTTACAAATGGGTAAACTGAGGTCCAATGTCACACGGCTAGGATGTTCCTTCCCAACCTCTCTTCGCTTTCATTCCTGTTGGGTTTTGTAACCCCTCTGTCCTCAGGACCCTGGAAAAGAGGTGGTAACTCAGGCTTGGGCCAGCGACCCTGAGGGCCATCTTCCCAGAGCTCCCGGAGCTGGACACACAGTTGCTGCAAGCCAGGCTGAGCTGGCCCGTGGTTACCTGCCCATAACTCACCAAACTCACTTCCTCCTTTTTCCAATTATAAATATAAACGCATCTATTTCGTTGGGGAAACATCGGATTGAATACCTCGGGGGCTAAAATCATTTCTCTAACTCAGCGTTACAGCAGCAGGAAAGCGGTGCCATTTGCAGTCAGCGGCTGACTGCCCTGCCCCGGGCCCCACCTAGAATCTGGAAGGCTCTCTTTTGGTGACTGACTTTTTATACAAAACAGGGGAGAAGAAGAAAAACATTAAAACCGGGGCTGAAGGAAGGACAGGTATTTCAGCCCCTCTGAGGATTCTTTCCCCCCCCCCACCCCCCGTCCCCCGCCCCCGAGCTTTTGAAAGCCCAGGACAGAGCTCACCCTGCTGTGCTCTGCCTGTTGGGCTGGACTGTGGTCAACCCCGCCTCCTGGACTCCCTGACCTCGCCTGTGTCGGTGCCTGAGGGCTGATCCTCGCTCCTCCTTCACTGGGCTTCTGGTATGCACACTTCCCACTTGTCTTGGTCATGATAAACTTGGCTTTCCACTGCCGGGAATTGCTGATGTCCAGCACTCAGACCTTAAGCACGACTTCATCCTGACCCTGACCCTTCTACCCTTCTATCCTGCCCCAGATATTTACTTGCCCGCCTCCCCCTGCCCCAAGCCCCCAGGCCATGCCCTGGAGTGACAAAGATAGAAAAGGTATATTTGGGTGGGGAGATGGCTTTGCCCCTGCTCACCAGGACTCAGTGTAGAGAGTGTTGGAGGGAATTGTGGGTGGAGGTTCCTGAGTTGCCACAGTGATACATAGACTCGGGGTACCGCATGAGTGGCACAGGAGGGCAGTTCAGACCACCAAGAAGTCAGATTTGGATACAGATCCCATCTGCGCCAAGCAAAACCACCACACTGTAGTCCAAGTATCATGAATGGGCTAATGTTCCCACCTCTCCAACACTCCCACCCCCCAAAAAATCCAAGATTGCCTTCATGGATCAAAGTAGTAACTATTTAATGAAAACAACCATTTACAATGGCAGAATCTAAAAACAGAGATACCAATAAATAAAAGGACATTAAAATCTTTTAAAGACTATAAGTACATGATTATCATTTATAAAATCAGTAATATCTCATGTATCTGACACTTGATGGCAAACCATTTTGCATTTTATCATTTTGAAGAAAGAAAGATTTCTCTAAGTAAAATACTTTTCTATCTCCTTAGCCAGGTCTGGAACGTGCTCTCTCCTTCTCCTACAGTGGCCATCTATCAGGCTGTGAAATTTGCTTTAGTTCTGTCAATGGACACATTTTTCCCATTCTTCAGCCTTTTCCTTTTGTCTGCTAAGGACTTGGAAACCAGATAGCCATGTTTGTTAGGATAGTTTGTAAATTAAGAAAATTTAATGAATGGCTGGGAGGTGCTAACCTATAAATAAAATGTATGGGCTTTGGGAAATGGCCTTTGATCTGGTTTTCCACTGGGGTTCTGGATTGGTAGGGATTGCTATGAAAGCGAGGCGTCACTGTAGTTTAAAAAATCAGATATACCGGCCATCCGCTGATTAAGCCTATGGTGTGGCATGGATTTGTGTTCTTCTTTGAAGTAGGTACACGAAGGATTTCTGGACTGATTTGAAATGGATCTGATAGTCCAGAGGTCGGGTAAACAGACTGACACCTGTCACATACAGGAAGACCCTTGAGAATTCAGGTGTTTTAAATCCCTGGTCTTTCCCCGCTACCCCCAAATCCAGTCATCTGGAGACATTGTCAGAAGACCACTCAGTGACCTGAGATTCCAGAGCCAGCCCATTCCACCTGGACCCTGTCAATTTGGTTATTTTCTGTGTTCTTGAAAGCTCAACATATCCCCATCCCATACCCAAACAGTTGAAACGTTAGCCCGTGCCTCCACCAATCTGTAAATGCTGGTACAGTTTGTCTAAGGACATAGCATTTGCTCCTCAGATCTTGAAACCTAGACTATTACCCCAAATGTGATGACATTTCTAAGGTCATTTAAATTGGACAGCCATGGGGGCAGTATTGTGTAGAGGTTGACACCAACTCTGGAGTCACATCAGGTAACATCTCTGCGTGTGACAAGGTTGTAGCCATAGGGAACAAGAGCTGGTTTTTAGAAGTCCAAGGCAGTCTTTGCTACCTCCCTTCCCTTTCTGCACACTGGCCATCCGAAGGGGAGATCTACAGAAGAGAAGTCTTCCCAATGGAGCCATGGTTCGGAAGAACAGAAAGCGAGTAGAGCATCTGTGTTGTCTCCCGTGGGCCACATGGAGAGTCCTCAGTGAGGGCAGGGGACGCTCCAGCATTCTCAGCAGTACAGAGTCATCATCTGCCACTGGACATGATGGGGAAGCAAATTACGGTCAGTGTAGCCCGGCCTCTGACCTTCCATTCAAGGTGCTTCGTTTCTCAGCCTGACATAGAACTTGGGCTTCCTTCCCCCTCACTCGTGAGAAGCCATGGAGACGGGACATTAATGAATGGTTTAGCCAGAGGGACCACACCATCTGGTAATAAGTATAAATCAACCTGAAACATAATCAACCTTGACTTCTCATGGTGCCTGTGAATGATGACAGCCGAGATACAGGCTGATTCTGTATTCAGTTCACAATGCCTTTCCCCCACCCACCACCCCAATGAACTCAATTTGGCATGCTCGCGACAGCTGTGTGTGCAGGTGTGTGGACCGACCGGGTAGCAGAAATCCATTAGAGCACATTCTACATGTTTACATTTATAGGCCTATTTGTCTGTCAGCTTTATGTAGGTGTGATGAATGGTGCCTCTAATTCACATAGAGGGGACTTCTGGAGAAACCACTTGGCAGGCCAATTATATCCGGATGATAATGCTGCTGCTGGTGATGATGATGATGATGAAGTAAGTTACCAATGATGTCAAAGAAAACCCCAGAGTGAAATTCCAATCAGTTGGCTGCCACTCCCTGGAGGACTCCTTGGATGGCCCTGAGGATCTCCTCCTCATGAAACCAGAAATGGTCAGAGCCAGAGAGGTTCTGAGGGAGCACCTAGCCTAGCCCACTCATTACTCACACAGGGAAGCAGAGGCCCAGAGATTTAACATGATTTGCTAGTTACAAGGGTGCTGTGAGTTCAACCAGGTCTCCGTTCAGTCTTCCTTCCACTGTAGCACCTTGCATTGCTAGCCTGCTCAGGCTGTGGGCTGTTTCAATGGCCCATTCATGCTGTCCCATTCTCCCAGCTCAGAGCCTGCACTGTGGAAGCACTGCTTGGGATCAGGAGGTGACCTTGCAGAGCTTAGGTGGGGATGGGCTCCTAGGAGTCTAACCATTGCCCCTCAGCTGAATCCCACCTTCACACTTGAATATGGGAGTGATTGAGGGGAAACACATGCTGAGGGTCCCTATATCCTGAAAAGGTATTCCACAAAATGGACATTTGAGGTCAAAGAAGAAACTCCAGCTTTTAGTAGGCCCTTCCTAAGCAGCCCAAACAGAGGATGTGTTTTAGAAAGAAAGAGCAGACTCCAGACTGCAATGTCTTTGCAGCAAACACCACCTATCACCACATCTGGCACATAGCTGGTGCTCAATAAACCCACACAGTTTGAATGATCAAGGAAGACAATCAGTGTCTGGCACAGATGTGTCTTCTCCTCAGCATATCACCTCATTCACTCAACAAACATTTGTCAAGTACCTACTATGTGCAAAGCACTGTATGAGATTCGAGATAAGGGCTCAGAGACTAAGTTAGAATCTCTTCCCATATGGGGAAGGCTAAACCAACTCCTGGAATGAGGTTTACTTCTGGCTTGTATGTCCTGATCGTTTCAGACTCACAGGTTCCCCATGCTCTACAGTCTAGCCAGGATTGTACTTGCTGTTCCTTCTGGCCTGGGCCTTTCCTGCTCTCCACTCTGGCTGCCTGGCTCTATCTCATCTTTGAGGTTTCAACCTCAGTGCCAGCTCTGCCTGAAAGGCCTTTGTGTAACATGCTACCTAGACCATCTCTCCTATGACTGTCTGTGCTCAAGCTCATTGCTGGCCCAGGTCTTCACCCTCTGGGTCCATGCAAGCGACTTTGAAGTTCCTCCCATGACAGAGGAGAAGGCCAGTTCCCCATCTTTTGGAAGCGGGCTTGGCCACGTGACTTGCTTTGGACAACAGAATGAATTGCAAGGCACGTTGTCCCTGGGTGTGGAGACCTTGCATATTTCAACTCACTCACTTTTGCTACTGTCATTGTCCTGAGAAAGGCAAGCCTTCCTCAGCGAAGGTGCCAGAAAAGCCCCCGGCTCACCCACAATCACTAGCCAGACAGCTGAGTCCCACTGACTCCCAGCATGGGACTGGGGAGCTAAATAAGTGCTGTCGTCACCACTGAAGTTGTGTGGATTTGTCACATGGCATGATCATGATCGTAGTCATTGGGTACACTGAGTCAGTCTCTTGTTCCCTTCATATGTGTGAAGCACAGAGTGGGTGCTCAGTACATATTTGATGAATGAATGAATGAATGAATGAACTGAATTCAGTGCCACATCCTGACCTCAGTAGAATAAAGCCAGCCCCACCCCCCCCAAACCCTTTTCCTTCACAGGAGCCTGGCCCTACAGTGGCCTTTCTACCTTAGGTGATGTGATTCAACCCCATGGAGAAAGTCTTACCTCTGGCTTCTGGAGGTATATCCCTTTGCCATCTTGGGTTAAGTTTTGGAAGACACCTGTGAAAATGCAGACAAAAGAAACACAGCTAATATAGGCCTATTTGAAAATATTATGAACTAGGTCCCCTCACCTGGGAACCCAATTGTGGAACCACATGTGGCCACACTTATTATAAGTGAGCTGCCTCAAACCTCCGCCTCTGGAGAAGGCAGGGAGCACGTGAGTGTGGGTAGATGCAGCGGGACTCGCAGGCACATAGCCAGCGTTCCTACCGTTTCTGCACTAGCAGCTGTTCTCCGGGGATCCTGCCTGAACTGGGGGCAGGGGGGCAATTCACGAGCAGTGCAGAGGAAGCCCCGCCTTCCCTGCTTCCCAGCAGCTCACTCTCAGTCTTCTCCGCTCGCAGCATCAAGAGGACGAAGCTGACAAAGTCCATCTGGAGCCTGGGGCCGCCAAAGCGGATAAGCATCAGCAGGCAGATGTCATCGCTGAGCACGATTCCTGCAGAGAACACGGACTCCTGCCCTCGGTGCCGGGGACCTCACACCCAGCTCCCCTCCCATTTGAGACCCTTTATTTAAATGGTCCCTTCTCTCCTGGGCCCTGAATCCAGAAAGCATGGGGATCTCCCTTTATGGGCTTCATTGTGAATTGTTTCATTATTTAGTCCATTCATTTTATTTCATCTCCACTCCCCATTCCTGCTCCCCTTGGGCAACCAGCATGAGGATCTTTTCATCCAGAGGGTCACTGGCCTTCAGGGCAGGGGGCAGTCTGTCAGGGTCAAGACCCTCTGCTCTGACGCCTCGTGGTCTTATAGTTAAACCCCAGGCTACCTAACTTCCCTGAGCTGCACTGTTTTTCCTCTGTAAAGTGGGGGGAGAACAGGGCATTGCTGAAGATGAAATGAGAGGGTGGATGGGCACCCCTCAATAACTGTTAGCTGTGATTATAGTGATGGTAATAAATGTTTCTGCTGTTTGTAGGTCCACGTGTTTGGATCTCTGAACTCAGGGAGTAACTGTGCATTAGAATTATTCCAGAATGCCATGTACTCCCCCCACCCCTCCTGTGTGTGCCCTCCAGCACCAGGTGCCCGCAGGCCTACCTGCATCCTTCGTGGCAGCCCGCAGCTGGGACCAGTTCAGGCATCCTGACCGGTTACTGTCTTGCTTGTGGAAAACCGCCTACGAAGACCTAAATGTTAAGGGAGCCAGGCATTTCCAAGCACCACCCGAGAGCCCCTCTGTGCCCAGTGTCTACGCTGCAGACACAGTTGGGAATGTAGGCTCCATTGGCAGGGCCTGCTCCCAGGATAAGAACATGGTGGAGGGTTGATCCAGGATCCCACCACCTCTCCCATCTCTGCTTAAGGTTCTGAGAAAGGGAGCGGTCTTTTGGTCATGGGGGATAGACAGTCTGGGTATGTGTAAAGGTGTTTAAATCTCAGCCCAATATCCAAACTTTGAGGGTCTTCCAACTTTATGACTCAGGAGACAAGGGGGAGAGTTGTGAGCAATGATTGGAAAAGTAGGAAGGAGCCAGCTTATGAAGGACTTTGATGGCACGCTAAGGAGTGTGGACTTCTTCTGAGGGCCATGGGAAGTGATATGATCTCGTGTGGGCTTTAGAGAGTCAGGGGACTAGTGCCACAGGCTCTCTGCGGTTGCCAGGAGAGAAGGTCTCACTGGAGACAGAGTCGAGAAGATCGGGTGAGTAGTTGGGTGTAAAGGGCTGAAAGGGAGAGAAGTAAGTACCTTATAGACTTTGCAGGATTGCCTTTTCTGCAACATCCTACAAGGAGGTGTGGTCAAGATGTGTTCTTACCTGATAGAGCATCAGCTGCTTCCACAGGTCCCTGAATTCCTGGATGCTCACGGTGCCTGATGCATTAAGCTGGTAGCAGAGTTAAGTCAAAGCTGTGAGGGGAGTTTCACCTATGCCTCTAGAAGCGGGGATTGGCCCTCCGCACAGCAGTGTGCAATGTATGGACAGCCCCGTTCAAGGTCAGCTATCTCTAGTGGCCTCCCCTTGCCAGAGAGTCCAGCCCAGGGCTTCTGGCCCTTGCTAGGAAGTACAGAAGGAGCTGAAACACAGCAGCACGGGGAGAAGTGCTGATGGTGGTGGCAACAGTGACAATGACAACAGCTACCATGTATTTAGTGAAGCAGGATATTTTGAGTTGGCCAATTTGAGGTGATTTAAATTTTAAAAGCACACAGTAACACTTTTCATTATTGCTAAAACCAAGCTATGGAAGGAATTAGGTGGTTCAGGATGCTTCTTATATTCAGTCATTTTATGAAAAGTTAACAGCTTAGTGGTTGGCTGTGTGATTGTGTCCTGATACCCTTGCATTAGGGAGACAGGCTCCTTTATTGGTGTGACTACTTTTTCAACTGGTAGGTGAGACAGGTGTCAGCTGGCCCATTATGGATGATGAAATGAGGGCTCAGAGAGTCTGATTGCATCCAAGTTCATGCAGCTGGAGACAAGGCTGGGACCTGTTCCAATGCTAGGACACTTGACCTCCATCCCATGCTGTCCACGCCCTCTGCAAAGTTTCTGAAAAGACTGTGTTTTGTATTTGCAATGTCTCCCCACCACCACCACCCACACACACACATATCCTTCCTATGTGCCTATCTTTTTAGTCAAAGTGTCCACTTAGATAGGCAGAAGGTTTGTTAGGAAACCGCAGGGCTGAGAACCAGGAAAGGCATTCCAGCTAGTTGTTGAACTTCCTGAGCTCCATGCTCCTGACCTGTAAATGGGGGCAGCCCCTGCCTAGTCACCAAACAGAAAACTTAGGATCCTGAACTCTTGTTAAGTGTCCTGTAAATCTAGAAACTAACCACCACCCTGCAGCTGCCTCATCAGCACTATCAGTCTATTGTTATCAATAGTTTATATTGATCACTGTTTTTGAAGACAGACCTGCCCCAAGCACTCTACATAGCTTGTTCCATTTGCATTCTCCCACTGATCCTACCAACCAGGCTTGAATCCATCTCAGGCTGTAGATGTGGACCTTCAGGCACTCTGAGGCTGAGTGACTTGCCCAAGATGACCCAGCTGGTACGCACTGGGGTTGGGATTTACACCCAGGCAGTCTGGCTCAGGGTGGAGCTCTCAACCAGCAGTGTGCATCTTCCCACAGACCAGAAAGGATACGTCCAGTAGGGCCAGGATACCCTGGCAGGCATCGAGGCTGAAGAGGGGCTGTGTACTCCCCAGACCTGGAGAGGAACAGGAAGAGCACATGGGGGCTGGCCCAGGACGGCATGACATGGCCCTTTTCTAATGGGACCAAACAGTGCTGCCTAGGCCAGCCACAGGTTTCAGTAACCATCATTTATGTGGGAAGGGAAGAGACAAAGAGCCATGGAGAGAGGGGAGGCTTGGTGGTGATCTCTGCACGCAAGTTGCATTAAATCCCTGTGGAGAACCCCAATTGTAGCCTGGCGTTGCTTACACAGTGGGGCAGAAGAACTCACCCCATGTACCCAGCAAGGGCCAGCATCAGAGAGCTATGGAGAGAGATTTGAGATCAACTTGTTCAAGCTCCCACCTAAATTAGAGATGCTTTCCTCAGATGTCTTGAGGATGGTCAGTCAATTATGGGTCTCTCATGGATGGCTAGTTCCATTCAGGAGACACCTCCTAAGTTAATTCCAAAGGAAGCTCCTATAAATTCCACTCACTGGTCCTCATTCTGCCTCCAGCAAAGTATAAATAGGTATTTGTCTCCTCTCAACATTTCTCCAACGGTTCCCCAGACCATATGGTTTCTAAACTCTCATCACCTTCTTCTAGACCAGTGGTTCTCAACCTTCTGGCCCTTTAAACACAGTTCCTCATGTTGTGACCCAACCATAAAATTATTTTCGTTGCTACTTCATAGCTATAATGTTGCTACTGTTATGAATCATAATGTAAATAAGTGATATGCAGGATGGTCTTAGGTGACCCCTGTGAACGGGTCATTCAACCGCCAAAGAGGTCATGACCCACAGGTTGAAAACCTTCGTCTAGACCTAGTGAATGGAGGCCTTTCCTCGGAAAAGGCCAGCATCTCTCTAAAGTACCAAGCCTGAATCGCATCCTTCAGATGCAACTTGGTTAAGTAGAGTATATATGAAAATGGGTCTATCACTTGCAAATTTTTCATTCTGCATTTTCCAAATTATGTTTCCAAGGAAGATTTTCTGCATATAAAGAGCTTTGAGTTCAAACAAATTTGAAAAAGGTGCTTTTCTCCATTCACCAGACACCTTCGTACATGATACGTACTGAGGGGCCAACACTGAAATTTTGATTGACACAGAATTTCCCAAGTGCAATTGACCACAGAACCTAATCCCTTCTATTTCATGAAACACTTACTAAAACCTCTTGGTTTCTAATGTTTCTTGGAACACAATTTCAAACACACAAATCTAAATGCTTCCATTAGGTACAGCCTAAATCTGAATTAGCACATTTAATAGCAACAATTTAAAACTATCAGCTCATGTTAAGCTCGAGGTCACCTAAATTAACCAGATATCATTCCCATCAATTGCCACAAAATGAGGTCTCTTCTGTGAGGAATCTGTGCAAACATTTTTTTAAAAGTAACAAAATGGTCATTCTGAATGATCATCCTGACTTCATTTCATCTTTTGGGTTGGGGCACAGCTTGTAGTGAATGTTCTGAATTTCAATTCTGCTGCCTAAGATAATAATTCCTCCCAGCACTGTGCCATCTGTACATCTGGTCCACCTGCCTTCCACGTCTGCTTCCCAACCACTGATAAAAGTTGAGGAAGTGAAAGTGGGGGGTGGAGGGGAAGGGGTCGAGGGGGAGGGGAGGGGCAGAATCCAAAGACTTTCCCCTAAACATCTAGATACTCAGCTATAACAGAGAATGATCCCTCTGGTTTTATATTTATACTAGAGGCCTGATGCACGAAATTCGTGCAAGGGGCTCAGCCCTCACAGCCCTGGCTTCGTCCAGAAGGTCGTCCAGACGGCCGTTCCACACGGTCGTTCCACTGTTTGGCTGACCGGTCTAATTAGTATATTATGCTTTTATTATTATAGATAACTTTGGGGAATGGTGATAAAACTTGTGAATACATCTCATATTGCTCCTTTCAAAGCCACACATCATCCTTTATTGGGGGAGACTTTACCAAATTCTCCACTGAAGTTCACAGTAGTTCCCTGACCTATCAAACCAGAACCCTCTCAGAGGAATGAATGGAAGCAATCTGTCTGTATATCCCTTGGAAAATCAATTTGCATGCTTGTGATCAAGGCATTTGAACCATTTTTTTAAATAATTGATTTCAGAGAGGAAGGAAGAGGGAAAGATAGAAACATCAAAGATGAGAGAGAATCATTGATCGGCTGCCTCCTGCACACCCCCTATTGGGGATGGAGCTCGCAGCTCAGGCATGCGCCCTTGACCAGAATTGAACCTGGGACCCTTCAGTCCGCAGGCCAACACTCTATCCACTGAGCCAAACCAGCTAGGGCAACATTTGAATCATTTTTAAAGTGCATTCTTCTAGATCAGCGGTTCTCAACCTGTAGGTTGCAACCCCTTTGGGGTCGAACAACCCTTTCACAGGGGTCGCCTAAATACATCCTGCATATCAGATATTTACATTACGATTCATAACAGTAGCAAAATTGCAGTTATGAAGTAGCAACGAAAATAATTTTATGGTTGGGGGTCACCACAACATGAGGAACTGTATTAAAGGGTCGCAGCATTAGGAAGGTTGAGAACCAGTGTTCTAGGTAATTTCCCTGGAATTTTTTTTCCAATTGGAGGAGAGGGAGAACTCTTGTATTCTATCATTTCTAGCATCTCTTCTGGTTCTTGTACCCTAAGTACACTTTGAGAAACCATCTGGAAGTTATTTCAAGCCCTGAGTTATACAATACCCTGGCCTGTAACTTGTTTGGGTTTGAAGTCTTGTTTTCATATAAAGAAGAAGCAATCACATATGCGAGGTAGAAAATAACCTTTAATTTTTTGGCTTACTTTTTTCATTTTGAAGTTTATTTTCCTCCTTGGAGAATACATGTTACTCTCACTCAAAATATACTTATAAATTGTTTTTATATGAACTTTAAGCTTTCCTAATGATGTATCCCAGGCTTCATCTGACAGCCTCCTCACCAGGTGATGTGCTCCCTCCTTCCAGATGTTACAGGTTGATCCACTTAAATATGAATTCATCAGAGCGCTCCCTAGTGGACTAGTCAATATTTAATATTTATTTTCCCTGTTGAGGAAGTGGTTATAGTTTTTCCACATGGAATTTATACGCCAAGAAGGAAGTACTCAGCTATTCTTCTCAAACTAGGAACACAGCAGAAATCTTCATTTCCACTACCATCTGTCTCCTCACTCAAACTCAGCAAAACAAACAAACAAAAAAGAAAACTAGTTTCCAAGCTGCATAAATTCATTTACTGCTCTCTCAGACCACGGCACCCACCCTGGTGTAAGACACGGCTGCTCAGGGGACCCGCACACAGCAGTTCCCACATTCCACCGGCGGAGAGGGAAACAGACCCAGAGTTCAGAATGGTGTCCCTGAGTCCTGCAGGATGCATGACTCCAAAGTACTCACCCGACCAGGTCAGCTGGTTCAGGATCCTCTGCAGTTGAGCTGCATTTATTTCCGGACACTGAAATGAAAGCAGAGGGACAGGAGAAAAATCGTCATTATGGAAGGCTCGCTAGATGCAGAGGGGCCCAGTTCACAGGGGCTAGGACATCCTCTCCAGCATCCGCTCAGAGTGGCACAGATGCCATTTCTGGGCAGAATAACTGACACCATGATGTTGCACATAAGGAATGTGACTAGTCATGGAATTAAATCTGGAATTTCGTAAGAACTTTTACAATAGTTTTTAACTGGGTGCCAAGCCCAGAGCACCCCAGCTGGGCAGGACTCTTAAGAAATAGCCTAAGAGAGCAATGGCTTCCCATCTGGGTTCTATAGAGATGCTTTATGAGCTGAGCGAACAATTTGGTTTAAATTTCACTCCTAATAAAATATCTTCAGCCAAGATATTTTAATTTTAGATTTGTCAGAAGCAATTCTTTACATTAACATTTAACTTGAAATTATGTTAACAAAATACAAAGATCACAAATTTAAACTTATCAAATGGATACATATTCATAGTATACAATTTAAAAATTTTTTAAAGTATGTTCTTATTGATTTTAGAGAGAGAGGGAGGGAGAGGGGGCGAGAGGAACATCAGTTGGCTGCCTTCTGCACACCCCCTACTGGGGACCAAGCTTCGCAACTGGGGAACAGAACCAGCAACCTCTTGGTATATGGGACAACGCTCAACCAACCAATTGTATATATGCCTAGGCAATAATATACAACTTTAATCCATTTTAGATATATTGGTATTCTCGATGAGATTTCATTACATAAAAGGGCAGCAGCAGAACATATTTGGAAACCCCTGCTGTAGAGAAAAACTTTTATAAACAACACATGTTAAATTTTGACTTATCGCCTCTGGCTACATTAGGCAAAGCACCATGGGTGAATGTGAGAGAAGATAGGAGGGCAGGAAAGATATTAATTAAAGCCACAGTGTTACTAACATGCTCTTCCATTTTTAATGAAATCGTGCGGATGTCAGACCCCAGATGTCCAATGTCTTTCTCGCCCCATTTCCAAATAGATTCCGTGTCCTGCAGGTTAGGGACACACAGGCCTCTAGAGCCCTCCACACTCCCCGCTTCCTCTGGATCCGGATCAGCCCAGGGAAAAAACGCAAGGAGACCAGGTGTGTAGCCCTGGGCCCTCCACCTTCACAAGGTCCTCTTACCAGGCCCAGCCCCTCTCCAAAAATCCACCCAAGAGGTCTTTCTCTCTGGGCTTCCCTTAATGTCCCTCCTCAGGCCCCCTGGGCTTGTCATTGCCCCACCTCCCCACCCTCACTACTGAGTTCTGACTCTGCTATATTCCATTTTCTCCTACAACGAATTAGTGTAGCCTCCAAGAACAGATAGGCATTCTGCAGGAGCCTTCTGGAGACAACAGCTCCACGCATTTGTCTAAAGCAGAGGACTTGAATAGAAAGTGGCAGCTTGGAGAAGCGGCCCGCCGAAAACATTTATCCGGCCTGCCGGGTGTTTTTGCCGCTGCTGCCTGTCCTACTTATTCCATTTTCTCCTACACACAGTGCGCATGTGTGGAATGTCTGAGGGACAGTGAACTGGCCCCCTGTTTAAAAAGTTTGAGGACCCCTGGTCTAAAGACTAAGGACTTGAATAGAAAGTGGCGGCTTGGAGAACAGGTCACCTTAAATCACAGTTCATACACAGGGTCAGGCAGAGGCAAACACATACTCTGTGCCATTATCTGCTCCACTTTGCCCCTGCTCTGCCCACTTCTGGCTACCACACCTCTTCAACTTGCCTTTTCAAAGAGTTTGGTGAAGACTTCATCATGCCCTTCAGTTTGGTCTACAATTTCCTACAGGAACAGACACATAGAAAGACATAGTTATTCACCGGGATACACGAGCTCTCGTACACTCAACTCATGTCTCACAGCTCCCAGGCTTCTGAGATCTGGAAGTTTGACCTTGAGCACTGTCTTAAATTTTCTACCACAGCATTCACACAGCCCTCATTTCTCTAATTCTTGCTGCCTTTGGGGAAGTCGCAAACAGTGAAATGGGCAAAAGAAATACCAGGTAGAGAGAAGCAGAAGAAGGTAAAGGTATAACTCATGCCCCTGGGGCTCTGGGCCCTTGAAGACAGGACCTGACCAGAAGGGCAGTTCTGTTGGTGCAAAAACAGCAGAACCTGGGTACTCTTAGGGCACAATAGATAATGTATCATACGTGCCACAGAGTAGGGTCTGCAAGATCTGAGGACTTTCTCCCCAGCCCTGAACATGAGGGGAGAAACCCAGCACCCTGGCTTGGTAAACAGTCCCAGCCATGTGGAACTCACCCGAATACTCACCTTAGAGAAGACAACTCCGGAATTGCTGCCAATTTCACTGAGGGAAAACAAAGGAAAGAATTCCTCCTTAGGAATCATCATGGGAACCTTTTGGCCAAGCTTCTCCCTCCCCCCGGGAACTCTTCCCAGTTCTTTAGCTGACGTATCATGTGGGCGTCCAGCTCTCACACCTCACCTCCCACTTCTCCATGAAGTGTAGGTCCAGACACACAGCACGCACACTGCTTATATCTCCCCACATGCCCGGTGCTGTTTCTCATCTCATGCTTTTGCTCATGCCAAGCCCTCTGCTCAGCACACCCTTTACTTCCCCCCACCCTCATGTAATGATTCCCACTCATATCTTAGATTCTTGAGACCAAGTCAAACTATCAATGGTCAAAACTGGAAATGAAGGAAAAAACTGGATTCCAAGCATTGAAGGGCTGTCATGGCAAGACAATCATAGGCCAAATACTAAGTTTGGCTGGGATATGTACATATTGGTTTACCTGCACATACCCGTAGTGGCTGGGCTTGCCGGCTGATGACAGCCTCCCCTCATCTCAAACATCCCTGTCATCCCTTAGGAGTCACCACCTCCCAAAAGCCACCCTGCTTTCCCCAGGATCATGGAAGGTTAGCTGACGCTCCTTCTTGATGCTCTTCTAACACCCTGTGCCAATAAATGCATCCACTGGACACAGTATAACAAAAATAACTGCTCATGTAACTGTGTCCTTTCCAGACCTTGAGCTTCTGGAGGACAAGGGCCATGCCTGTGCCTGTTCTGTCTTTCTCTGTAATGTCTAGCAGTGTTCATGTGTTAGTAGGAAGAGAGTGGAAGAAGAAGGGAAGGATGCCCTCCATGTAGAGAGCTGCCCTGCTCTCCTGATCTCCCAATCTCTCTTCTGTATTGGCCACAGAGACCCCATCTGCTGCCTCCCCACCTCACGCTGTTGATCGTCCCTGGCCTGAATGGGCCCGACCTCCGGGAGAGGCCTGTGCTCTTACTAGAAGATGTGCTTCCTGGAGAAGACTCTGAGGACGAACTCCGACTCCTGCTGGGCCTCCGATGTGCAGGGCACGATGAGGTACGTCCCCGGCTCCAGCCACAGCTCCTGACTCACTTCTTTTTCTGGGAGAAACACTTCAGGAAAACTCAGGGGGGTATTTTGCAAGAAGAACTCAGGGGGCAGTTTCTTCTGGTCATCATGGAACTGTAGATGGAAGACAGAGGGCACCAGTTGAAGTGAATACCCTGGGCTTGTGGCCAGGAGCCAGGAGTCAGGTGGCCTCTTATCTGCCAAATCCCACCTGCCCCAGTGGAGGATGGGATAAAAGAGTGAGGAGCTTGGAGATGAAGACAGAACATATTAGGAGTGGGCATCTTTGCTGGAACCTTCTATGGGGCGGAATGAACACCTACCAGTCGATTTGCCATAACAGTGAAAACAACATCCTACACAAAATAAAGTGAGCAACGTCACCGTCTGGCCAAAGCCACCCAGCTGGTAAGAGTCCCAGTGCCCATGTTCTGTACACTTCCTGAGACTGCATTCGTGCATGTGATGCAAGTTCAAGGTTGATGATGGTCACAGATGTAGATGCATCACCTACCATCTCCCCACCATCATAACAGCTACATACAAATACACTGGACTTCCACATCATCTCAGTGAAAACAGCCTCCTAAAGGGAAAGGAGGACTGGACAGGAGCTCACAAGACCTGAATCAGGGCTCTGGTTCCGACATTGCCTGGATGTGTGTTTTGTTTTATCTTATATTCATATTCTCTCTCTCTCTCTTTCTCTCTCCTCTCTTCTCTTCTCTTCTCTTCTCTTCTCTTCTCTTCTCTTCTCTTCTCTTCTCTTCTCTTCTCTTCTCTTTTCTCCTCTCCTCTCCTCTCCTCTCCTCTCCTCTCCTCTCCTCTCCTCTCCTCTCCTCTCCTCTTCTCTTCTCTCTCTCTCTCTCTCTCTCTCTCTCTCTCTCTCTCTCTCTCTCTCCCCCTCCATCCTCCCTCCTTTATTTCTCCCTTTTTCTCTATTTTTCCTTTTTTGCTCCCTCTTCCCTTTGCTCCCACTCAGGGCTGTGGAGGAAGAGGAGGTCCACATGGGGATCTTTTTTCCAGTGTATATACAGATGTTAACAAAGACACTATCCATCCAAGCAAAGACGTATTTCACAGATTCCACTCAGGGCTGGGGAAACAAATGTATCTCCTGATGACATACGCTTTCTTTTATCAGACAATGAGAACTACAGAATCATCCTGTTGCCATCTCGGCCTTGGCTGCTAGGAATCGCAGAACTTAATTTTATAATTAGCCATACTAGCTGTCCTACATTTAGTTTTCTTGGTAGAATCAACTGCTTACTTATCCTTCATTTATTTATTACTTTTTTTCTTGCCTTAGTAAGTTTTTAAGCGGCTCACAGTTTTGTTCTGTTTATAGTTTTATTGTCGTTGACCCAAATTCTGTTTAGAAATAGTCCTGATAGAAACATGCTTTTTCTTTTTAAATTAATAGGCAACTTAGGGATCACTCAGTTTTCCCACAGGAGGAAAAAAACAAAACCGACCCAAGACACCCAATGCAAAATGGTTTCTTTATAAAAATCCTTTATATTGTTTAGTCCAGTCTGGGAAAATTACGTTTTTCACTCCTGTGTTCTCTGGGGACTAAAATAATAGCTGCCACCCTGCAGAGGCTGGGAGGGATGGCCTGCCTCCTTCACGGAGCCCGCTGGGCTGTCACTGCACCTGAAATGCAGCGTTGTTGTCCTCTGCTCACATTTCTGTCCCATTTTCCAATCCTTTGTCCCTTGTCCCCAAGGAGGTGGGCCGCATGGTCTCCTCATGTCTCATATGTTATAGATCTATTTTACTGTGGGTTTCATAACTCAGGCAAGGCTGTGATTTATCAGCCTTCCTATGCTGTGACAGTCTTCGATATTGGCCCTAGGTATTTGTGTAGGGATTTAATAAATTCTAAGATTTATGGGTTCTGCACCAGGCTCAGAGACCTCCCTGTAGAGGCATAAGGAGTTCTTGGGGCCCTTGGATAGGAAAGAACAGCAGAAGCTCATTCCCGCCCCCCACCCCACCCCCGCCCCCCACCCCAACACAGAGGCAGTTGCCATCCTTGTCAGACATTCTCGGAGCTCCTTGGAAAAGGCTGCTCCGGTCAAACCGAACCTCACAGTGGCTGGGCCACAGGTGGCATCACTCCAAACCAGGGCCAGCTGGTCAAGTGTGGAACTCACCCTGTTCATCTGAAAAACAAACAAAGGAGACCTCGTTTGTCAGTGACTCCAGCTCTTCGCCAGCACAGACTCGAATGGAAGCTGATAGATAAGAAGACTCTACCCAGAGACCCCTTTCCTCCCAGGAGACCTTCTGTTCCAATGACATTTGAGTCCCCATCGGGAATTCTGGAAAAGGCTGCGGGAAGGCAACCCTGGCTTTTTCAGAGAGAAAAAGGAAACCGGTATCGATCGTAAACTATGTGCCGGACACAATGAGCAGCACTGCCACGTGGTCTTTTAATTCTGCTCTTTGCATAAATATCATTGTCCCCATTTTACAGATGAAGAGACTGATGCTCGGTGCAAGAAGATGACTTGTCCTGGATCACATAGTCATTGCTAAGGGACAGAGCCAGGATGTGCACCCAGGTCTGTGGGTACAGACATGAATGGTGAAGAGGACAGGAAGCAGGAAGAAAGGACAACCGCCGGAGACCCCATGCGAGGCCGTGTGCCCCAGCATCCCACCTACCCTGAAGAGGTAGAAGCCGATGGCGAGGTGAGGCTTCCGGTTGCGGTGCCTGTGCCTGGGCTTCTGGAGCAGGGACACCAACACGCTGCAGGGCATCGGGAACATCCTGCCCTCCTGGGGCCTCCAGACGGACAGCAGGAACTGCGGGTTCCTCCAAAATGTGTCTCGGGCTGGAAACAGCAAGTGAGACAAGTCCTCAGCTCCGCCAGCCTGTGGTTCCCCCAACACTGAGAGGTGCATAGATCCAGGGCACCTGCCCCAGGATTCCCACCCGGAGGTTCATCTGGATAGAGTCGGGTCTCTTCAGCCTCAGCTCTCTCCACCCTCACCTCTACCACCCAGTTCTTCTACAGACACACGGGCTGAAAGTTCTTCTCACAGTGCCAGGTGCAGGCTTCCCTACCCATAAGCATCTGCTGCCTGAGTAAGTGACTCTTCAACTAACTGGGGAGAACGTGCCCACGGCCTCCAGGGCATCTGCATTTTAAGGGAACCAAACCTTAGCTTGAGGGCAGCTTCAGCTTGGGGACCACTCTGGTGGGAGGGGGACACCAGATCAGGCCCCCACAGCCTGCTGAGGTCATACCCTACAGGTCCTTCCTTCCAAAGGGATCACTCACCACCTCCGTTGGGGAGAAAGGGACATGGGTCCCCAAAGCTTCCATTTTGAGAATTTAGATGTGCTTGTCTCCTGTCATTGAGGACCTAGAAATTCTTGATCGCTACCAAGTTCTAGGTCAGGTGGTCCAGATACATATGACATAGTTACTAGTCCCACCCTTCCTGTTAAGGGTGGTTACTTCAACCCATCAATCACCTTGTCCTAAAACCAAAACAAGATACAGCCCACCCTGCCCTAACCGGTTTGGCTCAGTGGATAGAGCGTCAGCCTGCGGACTCAAGGGTCCCAGGTTCGAGTGCGGTCAAGGGCATGTACCTTGGTTGCAGGCACATCCCCAGTAGGGAGTGTGCAGGAGGCAGCTGATCGATGTTTCTCTCTCATCGATGTTTCTGACTCTCTGTCCCTCTCCCTTCCTCTCTGTAAAAAAATCAATAAAATATATTTAAAAAAATAAAAATCATCATTCTCCCCTTTAAAAAAAAAAAAGATACAGCCCACCCTTTTCCCATGCATGTGTGCCTGTGGCCTCCTGGCGCTAATTAGAAAAAGGCCCCTCTGGAAATGCAGCCCCTACGGGCTGGCAGCTTGACTGAGATTTCCACGCCTTTGTGCAAATTAGGACCAAAGGTTCCCCATCTTCCCAGGGACACAGAGCAGTCACCTTGGCCAACAGACCCCCTCCCCCCTCAGCCAGATGCCCTCTGCAGAGCACAAGCTGCACAGACATCCACAGTGGCTCTGCCCATCTCCCACCCTTGCCTGGAAAAGCTACCACTATGGACCCAAGAGCCCTGGCCTGCTCCTGTGCACACACTCACCTTGGTGAAACTTTATGGGGCCCCCAGCTGTGGTTCCCTTCTCCCATCTCCCCTCCTGCGAGGTGTATGACCACGTCTGGCCCACGTCGTGACTCAGCAGGCCTGGGGTCAGTTTACAGATGACCAGGAGCTTGAAATGTGCCCTGAAGTCCTGAAGCGTCATCCTGGAGAGGAAGAGGGAACCGCACAGAGATACTTGAGATGTTGTCTATTATCAGGACCAACGGGGAGGTTGGAACAAAGCAGCGGCATCCCAGCCCTCTCCCATCCTCCACGCCCTTGTGCAGAGCCCAGCAAGCCTTGAACAAGGGAGTGGGGCTGGCTAGACTAGTTGAGGGTCCATCACAGGTTGCTGGAGCTACTGAGAAACCCCTTCCTGTGGCTGGAAACAGCCTCATACGACGGCTCCCAGAGCGGAGTGTTGCTGTTTTGCTGGTTGCACTGATAAAGCTGAATTGAGGCATTTATAACCAGTCAATTGACTTATAGATGTCTATTATCAGCAACCTGTTCTCAATCATTAATGGATAAAAATCTTTGCTCCTACTCACTGACTTTGCAATCAAGGCATGCTAATTGAGCTGCCTGATGCTCAGTTCACTTGTCTGGAATTGGAAATAACAGTATTTGCAGGGATCTTGAGTTCAGTGACTACTTCAAAAGAGAGAGAGAGAACTGGAAAGGATGGGCAATGGAGAAGAGGACTCGTGGGAACAGAGTGGATGTTAATAGTAAGGGTGAAAAGCAAAGGCAAAGAGGAACAGAAGGGTCTCATGTCAGACATCCCGAAGCAGCATCAGCTCAGGGTGTTTGGGTGACCCTTCATAATAAGAGGTGTCAGTGGGAGTAGTGCAGTTTGGCTCTGGAGGGCACAGATGAGTGGCGTATAGTTTGGCAAGACTTCTCAGTCCCTTCTTTTCTCATTTCCTTTCTAGGCCAGGAAAGGCACAACCATGGGATGGAGTGTACTGAGTGACACGAGAGCAGAGCGGAAGTGGGGGAGGAGGTGGCCACCCCCACACCCTCCTCTGAGCACCCGCTGAGCTCCGGGCCAGTGGTCACTGCTCTTGTCACAGAGACTGTGACTTTGTTTGCAGGGGCTGTTTGCCCTGCTAGACAGTGAGCCCCACAATGATCTTAGTCTCTGTATAGGACAGTGATGGTGAACCTATGACACGTGCGTCAGAGGTGACACGCGAACTCATTTTTTGGTTGATTTTTCTTTGTTAAATGGCATTTAAATATATAAAATAAATATCAAAAATATAAATCTTTGTTTTACTATGGTTGCAAATATCAAAAAATTTCTATATGTGACACGGCACCAGAGTTAAGTTAGGGTTTTTCAAAATGCTGACACGCCGAGCTCAAAAGGTTCGCCCTCACTAGGATAGGAGATGCCTGGCATACATGGGGTGCCCCACAAATATTTGCAGGATGGGTGACCAAATGTCAGCCAGGTCATTTGTCCCTGGTCCTCGAGTCAAATACCAAAATTCTCCATCATCTTTTTTTCTCAGCAGCACAATCTTCTCCTTGGGGCTCAGTAGTTCCCATGTACTTGAGCTGAAAACAGAAAAGAAATGTTTTCATGGGGAACAAAAGGATTGTGGAGGACATGCGAGACATTCTTCAGTAAATGTTCTATTCACTGAAGGGTTGTCATTTATTCTCATCTTCATGCTGCCTTTGAGACAACTAAGTCTCACATCCTGCATTATAAAAGCAACGTGCAACGTTAATGGATCATTCACTATGAGCCAAATTCTAGGCGAGGCTCTTGACATGTTCTATTTCAGTCAAGGCTAACAACCTTACAAGGTAGGGGTTCTCATTGCCATTTTAGAGCTCAGGAAACTGAGGTTAAGAGATTAAATCACTTGCTTGAAGCCACAAGGCTATTAAATGTCACAAAGCTATTTGAACCTATATTGGAATTATTTCTTTTCAAAGCCCATCATTTTGGACTTCTATTTCTGGAAGAATAAGGCTTTCTTGTATCACTTTCATACCATAAACAACTAAAACAAAATATAAGGAACAACTGTTTTCAAACATTAGATGGCAGGCGGCACAGGATCATGACCCCAAGAGGGGGGGAACAAAGGAGGTGAGTCCTAACATTGCCTAGACTTTTCTGGGCAGTGATGCAGAAAAGTGGACCCCAAAAAGAACCCAGCAGTGTTGCTGAGTGTAGGAGACAGAGTCCAGTGTTGGAAGAGGCCAGGACAGCTAGATTTTGCTGGGCAAAGTGCCTGAGAGAAGGGGGCTACGTGAAGAAGGAGCTCTAGAGAACTTCATAGGGGCTCCCTTGAGTCTTTGGCTGAAATCAAATGGGTGTGTTCATAAAGAAATCCCCATGAGACTGGACTATACACAGAAGAATTTCAGAGCTGACACAAGGCTGGGAATCATTTGATGTCCCACCAGCCAGAGTTGAAAGACCTTGTTGACTACATGGGGTCTTTAGTAGAGATCCCAGAGGGTCAACACCTTAATAGAGGGGTCAGATTACCCCTGAAATAAAGATTTCTATAGCTCTGCCCTACAAAACTTCAAATTATCAAAATTATCCCTGAGTGATTTAAGTATCTGCCAGAAAGAAACTAACATCCTTTAAAGGAATGCAACAAAATTCAACACTCAGAAACTTAAATTTACAATGTCCAACATCCAGTAAAAAATTACTAGGCATATAAAAAAGCAGAAAATATGATCCATGACCAGGGATAATACAGGACAAACAAACCTAGAAATAAGAGAGATAATGGAATTAGCAAATAAAGACATTAAAACACATTCCATATTCTCCAGGTTATAATGGGAATTATGGACATAATGATGAGAGAAGTGGGAGATATTCTCAAATGGAATCTCTAGAATTAGAAAATGCAATATCTCAAATGAAAATATACACTGGATGGGATTAAAAATCTTCATAGCAAGAAGGGGGAAGGACTTTACCACTGGTCTCCCTTTCTGCCTGTGCCCTACAGCCAGTCTTTAGTCTGTAAAGCCCCCATCCTTGTAGGGTTGTCTTTAGGCAAAAACAACCTAAGGTCACTAAATAGGACCAGAATGTAGGGCCCAATTCGGATCTGTCCACCTCTGACTCAGCAAGCCCAGTATTGCATTGAACCATGCCAGGAGAAGAACACTGGGCTAGACAGCAAAGACCTTGGTTGAGTCATGCTCTGAGACCTTAAATAATTCACTTAGTCTAAGCATCAGTTCCTTCATCGGTAAAATGCAGCTAAAAACACCTGCCTTATAATAGCATTATTTGGAGGATTAAATGAGATAAAAATTCAAAGGACTTAGCACAGCGCTGGCCAGTTCTTGATTAACATTTCACCTTAATTACTATAAGAATGAGAAAGCAATCTAGATATCATTAAACCTTTTATAAATGTGAGAGATGGACCTTCACAATCTGAAACCTTTCCTGATCCAAGGGAAGAACACCTTGGAACTTGTGTGCAGACGGCAACCTCCTTTGCAGGCGTCACCTACCCCTTCCTCACCCTCCCAGAACTTCACCTGTCACTCCAGTCTCCTTTCCATTCTCCTTTCCATTCCACCTTCCCCCAAGGGTTCCTCAGCTTGACTAGATATTCAGGCTTGTGGTGGCAGGTCACCTGCACAAAATGAGAAGTGGTTTAGGGGGCTGAGCCGAGCACCAAGGGCAAGTGCTACAGATATCTGGGTGAGATTCACACCTGCACAGGGGACTTTGAAATGGAAGATCAAAGGCCCCTGAGAGTTGGAAGAGGAGACAATGGCTCTGTTACTTACTGGCTATGAGGCATAGGGTAAGTTACTTAACCTCTCCATGACTGTTTCCTGATCTGTAAAATGAAGCTAAGAGCCACATCTGCAATAAAAGATTGAATGGTGGCCCCCGAAAAAGGTGTCTATCCAGAACCTACCAATGTGACCTATATGAAAAAAAAGGCCTTTGCAAGTGCAATTAAGTTAAGATTCTTGGTATGAAATCATTGCCCTGGCCAGGTTGGCTCAGTGGATAGAGCATCGGCCTGAGAACTGAAAGGTCCCAGGTTCGATTCCAGTCAAGGGCACATGCCCGGGTTGTGGGCTCAATCCCCAGTGGGGGGCTTACAACAACAGCAATGTATTCTTTGTGGTAATTAGTATGGCAGCCCTGGGACACTAACACACCTACTCACAGGGATGTTGTGAAGATTGAGTGAATTAACCTTTGTGAAGCAGTTGGAACAGTATTTAGCACATAGTAAGTGCTAAGTTTTGTCAAATATTGTTAAATAAATCTAAAACCAAAATATTAAAATAAACATACAAATGTTAGCAAAAAATAAATTTTGCTAAATAAAAATGAAAATAAATGTCAAGTTCTTGGTACACACGCACACAAATAATTAGTGGGTATCTAGGAGGAAGGAGAATTCAGGTGTGAGTTGATTTCGAGAAATTTGAAACAGAATTAAAGGGAATTGGGGGACTTTTGGTAAGTGATGCTTTCTACAGAATATCAGAGGTTCTTTAAGATTGAACCTACTGATTTCTTATCTCCACACTTTGCACATGCTGTTCCCTCGGCCAGGAATGCCCTTTGCTCCTCGTACAAATCCACCATCTTTCAGGGACCAACTCAGTGTCACCTCCTCTGGAAAGCCTTTGAATGTCTTCTCTCCTAGCTCTGCACCCCTAAAGCCTTTCACCTATGCTTTCTGCTCTCAGTTTCCATGTTCTTCCTTAACATTTTCAGATATGGTTTGTCTCCATACTTGACTGTAAGCTCCTGTAGGCAGAGTCCCTGTCTGATTCCTCCTTCAATGCTTAGTAGAACTAAAAGGTAGATAGCAGTGGGAGGAAACTGGGAGCCTGCTGAAAAGGAGCAAGTAGGAAAGAAGCAGGAATCTGGAGCGAAGTGAAGTTCAAGGAGGGCTGTGAGGCACAGCAGGGTGGATGGCCAGTTGGCTGGGGCTTCCCCGTGGAATGGGAGGTTGGGATGGTGCAGTGATGGTGGCAAAGGCTGGACCTACCACTTGACCCCAGAAAATAGGTACAGAGGTATGGGGAATCCCACTGGCTTTGGCAGGCACTGGAGGACCCACCAGAGAATTCACCCCAGATTAGATACAGATAATAAGATGACCCCAGGTTTTGGCAAGAAGCCGTAGGAGAGGAGAGGGTGCTGAAGGGAAACGGTGGGGGGGGGCATGGTTCTACCCACCTTCCTGATTCCTATGAGAGTGTAGGCGTGACCGTCCACGAGCCCGTTCTCCAGCACCCTCTCGTTCTGTAGAGAGAAGAGAGCACCGTCAGTCCTGCTGGGTACGGCTTACCCAGGGACCTGTTTGGCTAGAGCAAGGGGTTAGGAGGAAGGGGTGGGAGAGACCCACACTGTCCTGTTCCCTTACAGTTTTCATAGCTCTTCAACACCCACAGTCTCGTTCAAGCCTGTAAGTCAGGGTACCACACTTTTTGGGATTGTAACCACTTTACATAGGATGAGCTCAGATTCAGAGCCACTAACTTAGTGCGTAAGGCAGCGGTTCTCAACCTGTGGGTCGAGAACCCTTTGGCGGTAGAACGACCCTTTCACAGGGGTCGCCTAAGACCATCCTGCATATCAGATATTTACATGACGATTCATAACAGTAGCAACATTACAGTTATGAAGTAGCAACAAAAATAATTTTATGGTTGGGTCACAACATGAGGAACTGTATTTAAAGGGCCAGAAGGTTGAGAACCACTGGTGTAAGGTGACACACAGTTGCTGGTGGAGGCACAGCTGAACCCAGGGATCCCTGCCCCACTTTCATGTTCTCGGTTGTTATTAAATTAGACAGTAAGAACTAGCTGTGCTAGTAGAATACCTCACATGTGGCCGACACTTAACTGTCAGCTCCCTTCTCTGCACACTATCTGTGCTCTATAGTAGCCTTGCCTGCCCTGAGGTGCTCAAGTTGAACATCAGGAAGGTAGGTGCAGGGGTTGGCGGAAGTCTTGGGGCTCCCACTGAGGTGAGAACAACTGGTGCCTGAAGAGGGAGGCAGCAGAGAAGGAGGACACCCTGCTGGCTCACAGCCCAGTCTCACCCCTGAGTGGGTCTGGCAGCCGATGAGGGTTCTGCCATAGGTGGCTTGGGTCAGGATGTCCCAGAGGTTTCCAGGGGCTTCTGCCAGTTTGATGGTCACTGTCACCCCACTGGTGAAGTCCAAAAGGGCGTCAGACACCTGTCCACGCTGCAAGTCCTCATAGGAGCCACAGAGCCTGTCCGGGAGGAGAAAACATAGGCAGAGAAGGGAAGGGGCATTTATTCTGCAGCCTGGGATGGTCCACAGGAACCTCGCTTGGTTATTCCCTGGACATGTGTCTGCTAACCCTTCCCCCAACCCCAGGGCAAAGGAGGAAATATATGCTCAGAGTTCTTATCCTGTGAGCAACTCCATCCATTAGTGAAGGCAAATTCCTGAACGCTTGTTCAGATGGGGTGACCCCTACATAAAAGACTCTGGATATGTCACATATATTCACTGAGTCAAGTATCTCACTTGATAAATGTTACCTGCCTCCTCTTGCCTTCCCTTAACATTGATGAGAGAGACAGAGAGAGGGAGAGGGGGAGGGAAGGGTAGACAAAGGAAAGGAAGGGAAGGGAAAAGATTTCTCATGGTTGTCTTACTTAGCATAGGCCTTTTCCAGAAGAGCTCCCCAGAACAAATTCTTGAAGGTGGAAGAGACGAAGACCAGCTGGCCAGCTTCATTCACGGGCAGTCGGTCATCTATCACCACAGGAACCCACCTCCCAAAGTGCCAGAACTAGAAGGAGAGAGTGCCCACTGGTGAAGGAAGGTTATGGTGGAACACAGTCAGCCCAGGAGACAAGGACACGACTTTTCCAAGAACCTTCTTTCCTATGTCCCACCCTAGACTGGGGCACCAGGAGGACACTCACCCGGAACTGAAAGATGCCAGCATAGTTCTTGGTGAAACTCTGATTCAGGGGGACGACCCGGCTCAGGATGTCCTGGTGCAAAGTCAGAGCTTGCAAAGCAGCCAAGAACCAGCAGTCACCTAAGCCAGACAGCACACAGTATCTGCATAGATGCACTGCCCAGGCATGCACACTCTTCAGGTGTCTGCATGGATGTACTGCACATGCATGTATATGCTACAGGTGTCTGCATGAATCTACTGAGGATTTATTACATGCAAGAAATGCCTGGTCCCAATTGCTATCCTTTCTGGACTTGTAGCCTAACTTAGAAGGGAATTATATACTGGGGAGGAAGAGGGTGATTGAGAAAGTGTGATGCAGTGGGGGACATTGGCTGGAATTTAGCCTTGACAACAAAAATTGAGCCATATTCCTGGATCAGCTTTTAGACTCTCAAATGTTCCATCCTCAGGAACACGGACCCAAACACAACCAAACTTTCTAAATTCCTGTCTCTGTAACTGATTTTTATTCTTCTGGGAAAGCCTCAACCCTCTGGACTCCATTTCCCTGTCTGTAACATGGGTATCACTACACATGTGCCTTCTCTCATGGCCAAGGGTTGTTTCTATTACTCTAAAAAGAATCTTGGCTTCAGAACAGGCCTTCCTGGACCCTATTCTGGGGCATCTAGTGACAGGTGTGCCAAGAAGGAATCATTGCAGGGACTAAAGTAGAGTGAGCACATCTTGCCAAGACAAGACTTTAGACCTGTAAACTCGTAATGAAGATTATCATCTGGCAGGGTTTTTGTGTGTTTGGGTTTTTTTGTTGTTGTTTTAATCCTCATTCAATGATATTTTTTCCATTGATTTTTAGAGAGTGAGAGAGGGGAGAGACAGAGAGAGAAACATCGATGTGAGAGAGACACACGAACTGGCTGCCTCCCACACATGCCCCTACCAGGGCTGAGGATCAAGCCTGCAACCAAGGTACTTGCCCTTGATGGGACTTGAACTCTGGACCCTTCAGTCTGTAGGCCGATGCTCTATCCACTGAGCCAAACCAGCTAGGGCTATGATTAGGCAGGTTTTGGCATCCCCATGCATCCTGGTAGGACCAGTTGTTACCATTTTCCCAGCAAAGGACACAGCATGTCAAGGTAGAGTTCAGGTGGCCATTTCCCCCATTGGAATCTCTTGATCCTCCTCTTCCCCTTAGCCAGGCCAGGCTCCCAGCTGCCACGTGTGTGTCTCCAAGGCTGTGCAGACTCACCTAATAATCCCTGGCACAGATCCAGCCTTTTGGCCTCGGCAGAATAGAAGTGGGGGTTGATGTGCAGTTCCTACAGAGACAGATGGAATTGTCCTTCTGACCAAAAGGTTATTGGAGCCACAGTGACCATTGGGTCCCATATGCCCAAACTGGACATATGAGGACATCAATATAAAATATGTATATAAAAAATCAGGGCTGTCCCAGAAAGTCTGGTATTCAGATTCTGTCCATTGTACCTCTTATTCTTTCTTAAAGCTCATGTAATTCAGGTCCTGGAGAACTCTGTGTGGATATTGAGAAATAGCACTTGTACCAAAAATGCCTTTTCTTGGAGTTTCTATTAAAAATGGGAGTACCTCTTAGAGGGGGTATTCTGTTTTCCTGGAGGTCTTCCCATTCTTATTTTCCTATTTCTTCCTGCCCCTAACCCCCCAAATAGTGGCCTTTCTCGATTTCTGTGCTGAGATGTGGCCTGGGATGGGGTGAGAGATTTAGTGCTCCAGGACCTGCACTAAATCCCTCAGTCTTTGTGGGCACAGCCCACTCAGATGCATGACAAACTCTATATCAGCAGTTCCCAAGATTTTCTGGGAGAAGTAAAATCATGACTGCCCCCTAGGAGATGCACCGGTAATCTTACACATAGTAGGGACTTAATAAGTCTGGCTTTGATGGTTATGGCTGATTAGGAGAGAGAAGAGAGGAAAATTGATTTCACTAAATGTGTTCTGGGATTTACATGTAAATCAAGTTTGCGGGAGATTAACTGTTTTTGAACACATTGAAAAGTTGCTTTTAAAGAAATTGTTGATGCATTTATAAAGTGAAGAATACTTTTGTAGTGATTAATAGCTTCTTTCTTCTTTTCTAATTTTATCTTTATTGTTTATAGATGTTCCCTTTTCTCCCCATTGACTACCCTCCTCACTCTCATTGCCTCCCCAGGCCTTCACCCCACTATTGTCCATGTCCATGGGCTTTAATTTGCATATCTCACGAGCCTGATTTGGGGGGAGTGGCGTGTGAAATGTTAAAATGTGTCACTCTGGCAGATGGCACTGGCTGTGACTCAGGATGCCATCACCGAGGAAGCTAACCAGTACCTTACTGTATTTGGCTGCAGTTGCTCTTCCCATTTCTGGCCCGAGGGGGAGCTACATCTTAGACTCCTCCCAAGATCACTCCTGTTTTTTCCTGGAAAATGGGTGCGTGAGGACTTACCCAGTTCCCGTCTCATGGGGATCAATGGCAGTAAGACTGGGTATCCGAAAGCCCTGAGCCCTCGGAAGGAAGGTCTGGGTTGACACATTTTGTGTGTTTGTTCGGCAGCCCCCGCCCCAGCCCTTACCGTCGGCCTCCTCCACTGCAGGTGCCCTGGGAGCTTCTGCAGCAGGTGCCCACTGCCGATGGAGCTCAGGGTGGCTGGGAAGGTGTCATCTTCAAAGAGGCAGCCGTCCCTCAGGCACCTTTCCTGCAGCGCCTCATAGTCCTGTCTGGGGAGCTGTGGAGAGGCCCCCACCGAGTCCTTCTGCCCTCGCTTCCAGCTCCTTTGGAAAGATGACCACAGAGGCATAGCCAGGTGTGGATAGGAACCTAATGGGTCTTCCTGGGTGGTCTCGGTTGCTCCTGAAACAGAAAGCAGATGTTCCATTTACTCACTTCCTGTTAATGCTTTGTCATCCCCATAGAGAGGAGGAGGAAGATGGAGAGAATGAGAGAAAGAGAAATTAGCCTGTGAGAAAGAAACAAAAAGTAGATGCACTAGAAGCAGCCCACAAGCATGTCTGTACCAAGACGTACTCCTATACATTGTAGGGGTGACCCAACGGTCCTCCTCTCCATTTTTCAAGATCTTGCTTAGCCTCCAAAACCCATGTTGAGCCCCTCCTCCAGGAAGCCTTCCTTGCATGCCTGGCCTTCACTGAGTCCCCCCTATTCTGACTGTCTATTGACTCACCATTTACCCCATAGAATACTGCCCTCTAAAGTGCTTCTCAAATTATCACTAGTGAAGGGCCTGTGTTCTTTTATTTCCAATTTGTCACATAAATTTAATGAAAATGAATTAATAGAAAAATGAAATTTATAAAAGGTATATAAGCCCTCCTTATTTTAAAAACATCAGATTCAACAGAAGTAAACTTACTGCATCTCATGACAAGCCTTGGTGCCTTGTGGGGCTCATCACAAGATCAAATTTCAGAATGAGGCCACACACACAAATATCTTCCTTTTGTAAGTATTCCTAAGTCACCTTAAGGAGTGTCTAGACCAGGGGTCCTCAAACTTTTTAAACAGGGGGCCAGTTCACTGCCCCTCAGACCGTTTGAGGGCCAGACTATAGTTTAAAAAAAACTATGAACAAATTCCTATGTACACTGCACATATCTTATTTTGAAGTAAAAAAACAAAACGGGAACAAATACAATATTTGTATTTGCACGTGGCCGCAGGCCTTAGTTTGAGGACCCCTGGTCTAGACCAGTGATGGCGAACCTATGACACGCGTGTCAGAGGTGACACGCGAACTCATTTTTTGGTTGATTTTTCTTTGTTAAATGGCATTTAAATATATAAAATAAATATCAAAAATATAAATCTTTGTTTTACTATGGTTGCAAATATCAAAAAAATTTCTATATGTGACACGGCACCAGAGTTAAGTTAGGGTTTTTCAAAATGCTGACACGCCGAGCTCAAAAGGTTCACCATCACTGGTCTAGACCCAGGTATGGACAGTTGACAGTTCTTACCAGTCTTCTGTATGTTACAAGCTGGGGGTGAAATTGGCGCACTCCCAGATTGCCACAGCTCTCTACAAAGGACCACATGGCTCTTGGTCATACTTGGAAATTCATTTGAACTGTTATAAGTGAACCGTGTTGGAGCAGGCCCATAAAATAAGACTATGCAAATGAATAGGGGAAAGCTAACTGGGGCACAAGATATTAGAGGGTGTCGCCTAAAGGCATGCTGCCTGTGCCGAAGAGTTCTTTCCTTGGCCCCCCAAGGGTGTGAAGACTCCTCGGTCATGTTCTTCACATCAGGATCCATTTGCTCTCAGCAAAGAGCAGGGCAGAGACTCAATCTTCACTTTTTCTGTAGTGGCTATGCTTGTCTTGTGTACAGTGTTAGGTGCTAGGGAGAGCTTTGTGATGGTGTGAAAAGAGGGTATCCCTGGTACCCATGATCCAGAGGAAACCTTTGAGTGCTAACCAGCTGGTAAGACACCTGAGTCTGTTCCATACCTTGAGTCCTTGCACTGATGTTCGGTTCATTCAGATATTTACTGAGCACCTACTATGAATCCATGCTAGACACATACATCTGGCCCTTGGTCCACCTAATAAGGATAGAGTGTGGAAAGGAAACAAAAGATATAAGAACCATGTCCTTGCTCACAGGTGCTATGAACATGTAGCATTCTCCTAGGGATGGCTGATTTCCAGAGAGTTCTAGTATCCTGCCACACACCACCAAGTTGTCTGAGGTGAAATTGGAATAGAAACCTAGACTCCTAGCACAATGGCTCTGTCTGCATGATAGAAAGCATTGGATAGAAAATGTGATCAATTCTACCTTCTTGACAGTTGGAACAAAAGAACAAGACTAACGATGGGCCCTGCCTGCTTTATCCTGGTTACAGATGGCACGTCTTCTGTGTAATAGATGGTGCTCGGTGGTCATGGAAAGCTAGAGTTAGAACTAGAAAGCCCAGGAGAGGTCAGGTTTGCCACGTTTTACCTGGCAAACCTGTAAAGCAGGCCCTTTACCCTCTCTAAGCTGGTTCCCTTACCTGTAAAATGAAGATGACACATACTGTGTCTACCCTCAGGACTCAAAGAAGATAACAATGTGAAGTGATTTACAAAAACTTTAAAGCAAGATTGGCAAACTATGGTCCCTGGGCCAAATCTGGCCCACCCCTGGATTTTGTAAAAAAAATGTTATTGAAACACAACCATAGTTACCTGTTCATGTAATACCTATGGCTGCTTTTGCAATACACAGCAGCAGAGTCGGGAAGCTGCAACAGAGGTCATGGCCCATAAGCCTAAATATTTACTGGCCAGCCCTTTACAGACCAGTTTGCTAAAAGCACTCTCTAACTCAGGTAGATGGCTGTCGCACGGATCTAGGCACAGGGGTAAGCTCTAGGTAGGAATGCACAAAACAAAATGTGGTTAACGGCAGCTATCGTTAAGAACTTATTTTATTGCAACAGAATTTTATCTCTAATTGATTCATTGATTTTTATTGTTTTTTTACAGATGCTTCACATTCCCATGTTATTTTCGTGTCACAAATAGTCTTGAAGGTGTGGGCTGCTTTTTCTCTCTACTACAGTCTCTCATTCATTTTTTAGATGTGATGACAGCAGACATTCCTGGGCAGCTTTTCAGTGGTTTCATGGCTGCCGATTATGAATAGGAACCCTCCCCCGCCCCCATCTTTAAGTACAGACCATGACTGGTTCATAAAAGAGGAAATGATTTTGCCAAATTAATGGTTTAAAAGGACCTTGAAAATTTTTACTATTTAAATATTTGTCGACATTTGATTTAATTTTTCACAGAAGACCCAAAGCACGGATCCTCATTTGTTAAAACAGACATTTGCCTTTCAGGAAACAATGAAGAATGTGGCTGACTATGAGCTATCGAAGGCAAGAATATTTTTCGTTGATTTTTTTTCCGGATTCTCAGAGCCTGGCATCATATCATGAATTAAACAGATGCTTGATAAATGTTTGCTGACTGGCTGACTGAACAAATAAATAGATGGGTGTTTCGTCATTTGTGAAATGTGAAGAATGATAAAGCCTGCCCTCCCCGCCCCTCCTGACACGAAGCTGAAATGAGATAAAAGATGTCCACCATTTGGCGGCTCTCTATTGTTCTGATTATGTCCCTGAGCACTGATTTAGGTTGAGGCTTGTGTTCAGAGGCCTCCTTAACATCCCGCCCCTCTTCTGGTCCGGACTTGTTTTGGGGCTCCTTTCTGGGAGAGGAAGTTCTGTGGGGTCCAAGGCAAAGAGCCTGAGGAAAAAAGTAAAATCAAGGTCAGCCTTCAAGGAGGGAGTCCCCAAAGAGAACATGCTCCTTGGGAGTAGACTGGGAAGAGTGATAGATCCTCCCTTCCCCCAACTGGTGGGCGGAGTATGACGTAACCTGCAGCCTGGAAATACCTGAGTGACTAACCATGTACCTTATATGGACTATACATTGGACCACCAATCCACACCTGCCAAATACCCTAAGCCCTTGTCCTATATGGACAATGCAGTAAGCCACCAAGCAGTGTGCGCCGAGTACACTAAGCCCCCACCCCTTCCCATTCCGCCCCTCAAAAGGCGTGCCCACCCCTGCACGTGCTGCTGTCCTCCCCTTGCGAGACAGCCCGGCAGGTCCTTCTCCTCTAATAAAGCCTGTAGTCCTGGTTTTCGGCCTCTGTCTGATCTTTCAAAGAGAAGAGGCAGGAAGCCCCCTGCCTTGGCGGGTGATGCTGGGGGAACCTCCGGGCTGACTGCATGCATATTTGGAGATGTAAAACCTTGGCTGGGGGAGCTCCCTACCCACTCTTAACTGCCCCATCTTCCATCTGACTCCATGAGACACTGCACAGCCACAAATCTCTATAGAAGCACATACACCTTGACACTCCCGAGCCTGTGTACACCTTGAGTTGCCACGCAGTGGGGGCAGCTTGCCTTGAGCTTAGGAACATTCACTTGGCCTTGTGTGGAAGCCAGACCTGGCGTCACTCCTTGCAGGTAAACCTCAGATCAGGCTAGAAGGAACTTGGTGGTTGCTGTATTCAGTGCCCTCTGTACAGGGAAGACCTCTGCGCAGGCCCAGTGGGCTCGTGGCCAGCTCAGCATGACCAAGGTGAGCCCTGGGCCTCTCTTAGGCATATCCTCTTCTTTTCTTTCTTACTGGCTCCTCGAGCAGCACCTCAGTGGGGTCACTCTGTTCCCCTCAAGCCTGCTTCTGTCTTACAGTCGTTCCCCACCCAGGAGACACCAGCACCCTAGAATTAGGTCATTTCCTACCTTTATTTCTCCATCACCTTCCACACTTTTAAAAGACCAACCCTTTTGATTTTTCTCCTTTCTAAACATTTCAAAACACATTTGAATAGGAAAGAGTTTTAAAACAGATGTAAATTATTTCCTCTTGTTTTTCAGGAGTATTTACATCTTAAAGGGTCAGACATTGAGCTGCATTACTAGTCAGACTGAGGGAGCTTTCCCCTGTTCCTGAATTTACCATCTGAGTGGCCCTGTCACATCACTCCCCTCAGATCCCATAGCTCATGGCCTCAAACCCAAATGGTTAGGGTCTCAGTGTCCTGGCCCCTTTCTGTATGAACAACCTACAGCTCTAACCTGAGGTCCCTTTTACCTGCACACAAACAAGACATTTCTTGCTCCCTCTGGTTTGAATTGCATCCATCCTTCAGAGCTCAGTTCAAGTTTCTCCTCCCCAGAGCCTTCTCTGGCCCTCCAGCCCACTTTCTCTTCTCCTCACAGCCCAGGTATCTTACT